GGTACTTTTTTTATCATCATTTTCAAATTTAACTATTGTATTTGATGGCGTTTGTTCCATAACTTCGAAATCTTTCATTGGTATATTTATTTTATATGTAAATAATGTTGGTAGTGTTGTTTGTCGATCTTTTTCTGGTTCATTATCGTCATCCTCATTTTCTGTATCTGTTGAACCAATACGCATAATAGGTATTGTTGATGATGATGATAAACGTGTATGTTTTGTTGTTGCTCCAAAATGAAATTGATCAAATCCAGAAACTTTGCAAGAATTTCATTTATTTCATGTACAATTAGTTTTGAAACAAAAACTAATTGTGCAAGAAAATCAGCTGTGATAGTTAATTTAAGTACATCAATTTTTGTACGAAGATTTAAATGACCTTTTGTTTTATTTTCTTGTTCTTGTTAAATAGAATAATTTTCATAACAATGTATTTCAGGAAAATCAGTTCGTGCATGATTATCTGAACTAACTGTTGGAGGTTGTTGATGATCATGATTATTATTATTTAACAAATGTAAAGCATGTTTATGTATGATAGTTGTAAAACGTAATTTTATTTCACCAATATTAGCAACATCTATTTTATATTAAACTTCTAATGTTGAAAGAAGTGTTGTAGAAAATGTCATTCCTTGACAATGTGCTGTTAAATGAGGTTCAAATATAGATGGTTTCGATGATGTAAATATATTTTGCTGAGTTTCTAATGGACGTGGATTTATATTACGATTAATTGTATCTCTGCGACGTGTACCTAAACGTTTTTTTTGTTGTTGTTTGTTTTAATGGGATTGGTGTATGAGCTTCTTCAATAGTATCATTTAAACTTGTATTAATTAATTCATTATCTGCATTAGTTGTTGTTGGTATTGTAGATGTTTGTTGTGTATCACCGGGAAGAAATTGTCGAACATAAGATGTTATTAAACGACCAGTACGATTAACAAGATCATGAACATCGTGTGATCTTAATGGTACATCCGTTACAATTGTACGAATATTTGTAACACCATTTAATATTAAATAAACACCACGTGATTGAAGAGATGTTAATGCTTGAGATTTGCCAACAATTATATCAAGAACAGATATTTGTCGATTGGATGAAGTACTATTGGAAGATGATGGATGAATTGTTGGAATATTTGTCGATGGAAGATTATCGGTAGACGTTGAAAGAGTTTCTTTCAAAGTAAGTGATGTTGAACCAATTTGAAGAATTAAGGAACCATCATATCTAAATATTTAAATTTAATTAAGTGTGTAAAATTAATCCTCATCTGACGTTTTTGTATTTTGATTATTTGTTGTTGAATGTAAAGCTCGAAGTCTTTGTGATAAATTAACATTTCCTTAAATTTTTCTTGTACAACCATCAACTTTTAAACCACCTAAAGAAGCTGCACAGTGTATTTCACCAATAATTAACTGAACAAATGATGAAAATAAAAGTATTTTATTTGTTACATTTATTGCCATATGACGTGTTGGATTTTGTTGTTGTAGTACATGTTCATTTGGTGGTTTTGAACCACTTCGTTGTTGTTTTCGTGTTGTTATTAATGATTGAATTGGTTTTATTTCTGGTACAATTCGATAATTAGAAGCAGATTCATGTAATTTCTTCTAACACTGTCGTTCAGAATTATCTAAATCATTATTATCAAGATGAAGAATATTCGATTCAGGTAATTTTAAAACAAGAGTTTGAATATCATTTTCAGGTGTAAGAACAACAGCAGGTGAAAGAAAATATTTTGTTTTTTTAGTTAATAATTCATAGAGTTTACTTTGTGATAAGGTTGATACAGGTTTTGTTTCAACAAAAAAGTAAGCTAGAATAGCATCAAGACGTTTTTCACGTTTACGAAGAAGTTTTCTACTGGTTTTTGTATACCATTAATAACACAAAAGCAATCAAAAACCGTTGGTGATAATGTTCAAAGAAAACTCCAATCATAATGTGTATATGAAAAAAGTTTTTTAGGTGCTGTAGTAGTTTGTTTTGCACTAGTTGTACTTGTACGTGGTCGTTTGGAAGAATTCGATATTGAATATGTATGATGTTGAGGTTCAGGAAATGATATCTAAACATGATCAATTGAACCATTAAATATACTACTTGATGATGGACTAGATAATATTGGAACAATTGAAGAATTAGTTGTAGTACTAGCCGGTGGAATGTTTATAGGTAAATTTATTGTTGATGGAGATGCTAATAATGGCTAAAGATATAAAAAAATAAAATATGTCTGTTTTGATCACACATCATGGTATGATCACTATCTTATCTTCTACCTTTTTTCAGTTTTGTGAGTTTTATTACGAAGTTCTAATATATCAAAATATGCTGAACAATTCAGATCAGAAATATTATCTCGTCTGTTTAACAGACAAGCTCACGTGACTTTACTACAAAAACAATATATCTGTTTAGTTTCTTTCAGGTGATGCGTGAGTGGGAAATTCAGTTATGTAATACTCTGATAATTTCTTTTAACTTACATAAGTTGATTGTTTTCTTTTTGATTTGTGTTTTATCAATTTCTGTCATTATTGGTAAAATATGTATTCGTTGTTGTTGTTGTTGTTTAGTTGTATTATTAATTAATTCAAAACATAAACGTTGTAAACCAAATTTATTCATAGCAAATCCGATATTTGTTTTATTATTATCAAATGAGAAATGTGTTTGTATATGATTTGGTAAACGAAATTGTAATCGACAACGTTGTGATTGTATAGCATGAGTATTAATATTTTCAATGGAAGAAAAATCATTTTCAAATCGACGAAATTGTCCTGTTATTGGTTGAATTTTAAAAATACCAGCTGTTGAGTGATTATGATTAGATAAAATTGTTTCCATTTATTATTGAACGATGATCAATATGATCTTACTGAATATTTGCTGGGAATGTAGCGTTATTGGACCATGTTGAAGAAAGATAATGAGATAAATAACGAATGTATGTTGTACATAAAAGAGTCGATTTTGGTATACACATTTTCATTTGATTACGTAAACTTATCCATAAAGAACTAGGAAGAGATGGTTGTGGTACAGTATTATATCCCATGTTTGATGAAGTTCCCTAAAAGATAGAAAAATTTCTATTATATTTCATCTTTAAATAAATTATCCAATTCTGATTATTTGAAAAATCTGAATATAATTTTTTAATGTATTTAACTATGTACAATATGAATTGAAGAAACCGAGATAATTCTTTTTTGAAAGGCTTAAAATCGAAACTAATCAGTCTAGTTTGTTTTATATATGAAATAAGTTAGTTAGTATATAAAATAGTAGAAAGAATAAGTGATGTTGATTTTTGTAATTATGATTATCTCACTAAATAAATAAATCTAATATCTCAGAACGAAAAAAAAACTATGATTGATTTTTCTTTCAAATGATATACATACTTTTTGAGGTAGAAATGTTAAACTATTTCTTGTTTGTTGTCTTTGTAGTATTTCTTCTAAAACTGTTAAAGAATCAGTTGATGAATTTGTTGATAGATTTTGTTTATTACCAATTGATGTTAAAAATATATTTAAATCTGAATGCATGGGTGATGATAAAGTTGATGATTTTTGTTGCATCATAGCTAATGATGATATTGATGACGATTCTATAATATCATTTCTATTATTTAAAGTTAAATTTAAACTTGTTTGACTTGCACTTTTTAATGGTAAATGTTCATTAGGTGTTAAATAATCATCACTTCCTAATGTTTGAGGTGATGGTGATGAAACGATATTTATATTATTTAATAGTATTGATGATGATGAACGTTTATGTTCATTTCATTCAATAACTGATTTATGTTTTAAATTTCTTAATAAATTAGCACGTCATAATGAATATAAATCTGTTGGTACACTATGTCGTAATGGATTATTATTTATATTTTGATGTTGTTCATTAGATTGTTTTTGTTGTCCACAAAAACCAAATAGATAAAAAATTTCTTCGTCATCTGATTCATCATGCAATCGATTAACATGTTCATAATTAGTCCAATTATATTTATGTTCAAATATAAAATGTGAATGTAAAACATGTAACTCCGGATGGAATAATGAACGACCAAATGATGATTGATCACTAAGACGAAATGTACTTTTAAACAATTGTTCACCTTGTACAAGTGTATAATAATTTGTTGAACCACCAAGACATGCACATGATAATATATTAGAATTTGTTGCTAAACCAACATAAGATGGACGTTTTAAATTTGTTGATATTGTTGGAATATTTAATGTTTGTTGAGATTTAGGATTATAAAGAAAATGTAGTCGTTGAGAATGTTGATCACGTCAACCAAGAAATTCTAATTGTTCATTTATTGTAGCAGGTGTTGATGGATGACATTCAAATTTTGCATTAATACGTAATTCAGGAACGCTAACTGAACCAGCTTCTAACCATGAACCAGGATAAAGACGTAGTAGTTGTCGAATTTGTATTGTACCAACTTTTAAAGTTAAACTTTCATTACACAATGATGTATGCATATTACACATACATAAACGAATAGGTGCTATCTAAAACAAGAAAATTATATAAAGATGAAAAAATTATATAGAATATTTCTTACTTGAACATTAACAGTATTTCCAACTTCAATGAGATTAAGATCAATTGAATCTAAACTAAATCTAAGTACATCATATTTAAGTTTTTCAATCCATTTTGCTTTATCAATATATGGTGAACGAGCAAGAGTATATATTCATCTTCCATTATTTATAAATAAAAATTTTTAACAAAACCTAAGGTTTTTTCTAACTTAAAACAATAAAATGGTATTATTTACAAAAAAAAAGATTTTTTGTTTTTAATTTCTTACTTAAATTGTTGTTAAACAAGCTGAGATTTTACAAAGTATAATTTTCATTTGTCAAGCATATTCAAGTATTTCACGTTCAGGTGGTAAACCTTCATGTGAAAGCATTGCATGACCACGAATACTTAAACCATATAGTTGAAGACATCCAGTAGATAGATGTTGATCTGTTTTATTTCTCTAGATGAAAAGGAAAAGAATTGTTAGAGTTATTCAGAGATCGATAAATATTTCATTCATATTTATTTAATTAGTAAAATCAAGATACAAATCAGAAGTAACAGCTTAGCATGTTGAAATTTGATAATCTCACTTAAATGACTTAGCCTTTAGACAATTTTAATAACTAAGTAAATTTGAAAAGCATACCATGATGAGATAAACACTTGAATATCATTGTTTGGGCTTATCTATTTGTTAGTAGATGAGTCATCAAGAGCTTTTGAAATCATAAATATTTTTCTCAAATGATCTTATTCAAAAATTCTTAAAACGAAAGCATTACTAACTACTAGCCAATGAAGCTATTTAGTTTTCTGACATATATCAATAAATAAGCTGGTTTGATCGATTCAGACGAAAGTTACATTTCTGCTTTGTAGCATGCAACGAATGTTTAAAAATTCCAATCAATTTTTAAATGTACTTACAACAATCGAATCTTCGACATAAACATTAATTGGTAGAAAAAAATACTTGTAATCTTGTTTCATCAAGATCAGTTGTCATTTCAAAGCAAAGTCGTTCACAAAAAGTTATTGGACATGGTTCATCATCCGTATGCTAAAACAAAAGATTTTATTAAAAGAACCAAATAATTATTTTCATTTACGATTTTTATGTTAGATGAAACGGAATATTTGGATGAATCTAATGGAAAATAAATAAATGAACATATTTTCATAAAATAAGTTAAATTATTAAATACATTAATAATTTGTTTTGGATGTCCAGACTTTTACAAATGCAAAAATTTTCTAATGGACCATTAACTAATTAAAAAATAAAAATCTCTACCTTATTCTATTAGATTTGTTAAATTGACGATTTATGTTAAATATTGATGTATTTTGTTGAACATTAAAATGACTGTTAATAATACTTGAACTTGGTTTTTTTAAACATCATGCAATAATAAATGTTGAATTTGATAATAAATTAAAATTTATTTCAATCAACTAAATTATTAAATGAACAAATTTAGAGTTTTCATCTTGACTTATATAATTATTGTAAAGATCTATTTGAGAATGATAAAGTCTTCCGCCAATTTGTTTTCTTTGAAAATTAAACCGAATTTGTCATAAACATTTGTATTTTCTTGTAAATCTTATTTTTTGAGAAATACATTTTGATGATTTTATATATTTAATTTCAATTTGTTCTTCTTCTTGTTGAGTTTTATCAATTTTTAGAGTTTGATAAAAAAATATTTTTATTAAAAGCTTGATCCATAAATGCATAAGTATTAATTCCATTGGAATCATTCTGTGAATTTAAAAGACGATTAATTAATGTTGCAAATGATAAGTATTCTAATAAAATTATCTTATTAATTAATTCATTTTTATCATTTTAAATAAAAACGACTCATCGAACAGTTATCAAATGTAATTCGATCTTGTTTAATAGATGAAGAAGTTCTGTTGTCATTTGAATCTGTATTCATTTGTAATTTTTCCAAATCAATTAAAATACTTTTATTTGAATATGTATTGATTAGAATAAGGATTTGTGAAGCATTTAATGTAAACTCCGTTTTACATTCAATTGAATATTCATCAGATTTTTGTAGAATCGATCAAAGAAAACTTGATTCATAACAAGATGTATCTTTGTCTTTGCGTTGTTGTTGATTTGTTTGAAATGAATTAATTAATGATGATAATATAAGTTGAAAATATTTCTAAAGAAAAAGGAAATTTTATTTTTGAATTTGACCTTGAATAAATAAGTATTGTTCTTCAGTTTTCCTTTCATAATTAAATGAAGATAAATTAAATATAATCGAATCATTTGATTTATTTTCTTCTAAATTAATATATTGATAACGAGATTTTATATAAAAATCAATAACATCTTGAGGGTGTGTGGGTGAATAGGATAGATATTGCACACCCTTCTATTGAACCATTTGATTCAATTACTTAAAATAAAATATGTAAAAATTCTTCTGTATAATACGTTAAATCTAATAATGCATATAATAAAACAAAATATCAATCTAAAATAAATAAATTAATATAAAATTTTACTTTCAAAACAATAAAATTGAATTTAAGTTATGTTATTTGTTGTCCAGATCAGTTGTAATATCAATTTGTTTTTTAATATTTTGCTTTTCTTCTTGAAGAATGTTTTGAACAGTTATCATTTTTTTAATTGATTCATATTTTTCTTTTGCATTTGTTTAATGTTTTTTATCTTTCGATTTTAATTTCTATTAGTTTACAAGAATAATATAGAATAAAATAAAATAAAAAAAAGAACAAACTTGATTTTGTTTTTGTTGTTTTTAATTAAATATTTTTGAATATAGAATTGTTTTTATTAATATTAATAAACCAAATAAATGTGTATCAAACATTCGACATTTAATCAGTGAAATATTTCCATTTGCTTTCCTCCTTAAAATAAATAATAAAGAATTATCGCTCATTTTCTTTTCCACATTAAATACAAGGATCTCATAATATTCCGAAGAATCTGGATATATGCTCAATTTCATAAACATTTATAGAAAAAAAGCTTCTTGGTTACATTGAATATTAATATCTTACTTCTAAGTATGAAACAGAACAAATGTGAATTTTCTTACTTTTTACTCAAACTTAAATACAAGACTCCAGTCATATTATACAGTAATCGATATATTTGTCACCTAATTCTCCATTTTAGCAAACCCGAGCTTTAATCAGGATACGCCTTTATTTTGCCTTACAATACGAAAAAGGTAAATGCATATTTTTTTCGTCCATACTAGATGAACGATTCCCGTCATATTTTTAAATAGTTGGATACATATCTTATTACGTCGACGTTTATATTATGCGTAGAAACAAACTTTTACTGTTGCTCAACACGTAATCAGATTAAAAATAAAGAAAATTGAGAGTGTGGGTAGACGTTGATGTACAACCTCCTCGCAACGTGACTCATCTTTGAATATGTCGATATTCTTATGAATTATTTGTATTATCATGTTTTTTCTTTATTTCTGGCTATTTTTTTAAGTCAATTCATGAATTTCGTACAAAATTATCTTATTGTGTATATAAAACAAATGTACTAACATCACTATATGTTCTCTATCAATTTTTATATACAAACATTTATTATATATTGAAAACATATTTATCGATTAATTTATTAACAACTTATTGAGACACCTAGACTATTCAATGTTGCAACTTCTAAAACCATTCTTTGGGGTTATTTTCAATGTTTTCAATGCTAGTTGGTTTGTATCAGATTTATGTATGAAACTCATTATTTTTCAACTTATCTACATTAATAACCAGAATGATAAAATGACTGATTTTATATATTTGATCTGTTTTTTATTGATTACATCGATTAATATTCATTGATCATATACATCGCCTCGCACCAAGAATCAATCAGTACCGTCAAAAACTCTTCTTTTTTTTAACAAAACACATGTTAGCTCATTTTTATGAAATATCATTTGGTTTGTTATTTTATTTTTTTGAAATGATCTATCATGTACATATAGAAAAATATCAACAGTTACTATTCACAAGAAGAAACTTTTGTTCACCTTTTATTACTATATCTTTGATTGATCAGTATTATAAATATAATATTGAATATTCATATTATAATGCTGAATTTAAATCTACATCAATTTGGATACCTATTTTACAATCGATTGTTGATATTGATTGCAAAATGTGTCTCAAAGTATATTGATGAGAACGGTATTTTATTTAAAATTACTAATGAAATATATCATATTATATGTCAACACATATGTATAGATCTTGTTCTAAATACTATAACAATTGCAATGTTTAGTGGTGGATAGTTTGAGATTTTGAAAGCCGATGCAAGCTATCAACACAACTCAGAAATAAACTGAACTCTTTTCATCAGTTTTAGTACATCAATTTCAATCTTTTCAGCTATCTACATTCGTCAATTATTACAGAAAATGACTAAAGTAACTTCAAATGAATTGTAACTATAAACTTACATGTCTTGCTCATCTTTTGTACATTAGAATAGAAAATATGTAATATGAAGAGTTTCTTATAATCACATTTTCTTTTTTCAGTGTTATTTAACTAGAAGAAAATAATTTGAACTTATTTATTTTTGTGTTCTATGTTCTTTACACTGTACTTTTTTCTGTTAATCTTCTATTTTTTATTTATTATATTCTTTTCATTAATTCAATTCTTATCTTAATAAAATGATAGTCAAATTTAACAGACTAATTCCTTTTTGATTTATAACACTTTAAATTTTCGTTAAAGTGTTAGTTAAAATCATTATTGTTCACTGTATTTATAACTTTTTTTTACTTTTAATCTAAGAAACTGTAGATCTTTGTCACAAAGATGATACTTTTGAAATAGTAGTCATTTTGAGACTAACTGAGAAATAAAAGTCTACATATACGTCAAATAATTCACATCACAAAATCAATATTTATGAATTCAATTTGACCTATTTTATTGTCATGTGTACCTATGTGAGATATTAGTATATTACTGTTCACGTATCGTGCCAGAATATTTTAACAATTATATCTGTATATTTCTGATTTCCAAGATG